TCGCAACAGCTTCTGTTGCACGAATGGGCAGGCAGGCTCGTCCGGGGAAGTACGACGAAGTACGCGAAGTAGTCAATGATCTTTTAATAAAGATGACTCATGTCAGTTGGCGCATACTGCACGGCCTTTAAATTGTTCCGCTTTATATAATACGAACGACCCGCCCCGGCTTCGCAAGGGTGCAATGTATTATAATACATAAGAACGTTCCTCTTGAATCACTCTATCTAGTAAAAAAACTGCATCAAGATCCGTTGGGTAGTTTTAAAGATCTAAGCGTACATAGGAACAGACAGCGGGGCGACTTTGTTTTATACTATGTAGTGATGACAAACATAAGTGAATGTGAGATGATATAGAACGTATGATACGGAGGAGATAGCAGTCTAAAGAATTGCAATCTAATTACAGTGTCATATCTACCTCGTATTTGTATATAATATCATTGGAACTAGTGTTATAATTCTGCGTTTCTGCGAGGTTGCAGATGTCCATGGGCGGAGGAAATCAATTAAAAAGCAGTCATCGGGACTGCCGATAGAAGCGAGAAAGGTGAATCTGATAATTGTTTTTAACTAATTTCTTATTAAAAATTTATAGAATATTAATTTTAAAATGCGCAACAAAAATATTATTAAACTAATAGAAGTTGTAAGTACAGAGATAAAATGTTAGAAAAGCCAATGATATAAAAAATTTAACGTTACTAACGTAAATGAAACGTAACGTAAAAACGTAACATTAGCTTGTCAGTGACGCGAACCTATGAATTTTTCCCCATCGAATATCATCAAAAGTACCTATAGAAGCTTTCACTTCAAAAATGTTTATTTGATGATTTCCTCAATCGCTTCTCTTTAAGCGCTGAGCACAAAATGGAACTTAGAATCAGGGTTGGATTTAGGTGCGGTAAAAAAGATAGTACAAAAAATTTAATAGGATAGTATTTGGCAAAAAATTATAGTACACTATTATTTTCGTTGTTAATGCCCAAAAAATAAATTATTTTACTCAAAAACTCGCAGAAAATTGTTATCACTTTAAATTTTGAATAAGAATGGAACGGCCGTACCATGAAATAATAAATTAATCGTACTATTAGACAATTATGAACTATCCTTAGATATGGATAGTAAATAGTACGAAGCATGAAATTATAGTACAAATACTATAATTCTAGTACAAAATACTACCCTGCTTAGAATTGCAGCCGGGCTTTGCATTCGGGTTGTGGGATCTTGAACACTGAGCTACACTCGCTCTAGGAGACAAAAGAAGTAGACATAATGATGGCCACGATGTTATTACGTCGCTAATGTTGATATTGAATTTCTCTACTACAATATACACATATAAACCTTCAGCTTGAATTACTTTATCTATTGCTAAAACCGCACTCAAATCCATTGCGTAGTTTAAAAGATCTAAGCGTACTAATGTCGGGAGCGACATTGTTTTATACTATGTATAGATTACGTCCCATCGCGACAAATTCAACAGAAACATCCGTCTTCGCATTTTATTTTATTCAAACATTTCTATAACGCAACGGCTTCTATCGATATACGCTTCTGTTTGATTATAGACGGAACAAAGCTATCCGCACTTCACTATGCCTATATAGTTCCAAGCGACTGTGGCCGAGAAATATTAAGTTTAGTTATTAATTACCATGCAATAGCTGGGAGATAATGCTGATGGCATTAAGTCTGCCTTTGTACATTCATGTGTGCATAAAGAATAAATAAATAATAAAACTTCAGGCAGCAATTTCACAAATTATTCTTAAAGATAATCTATTTAAAAATATGGAAGTGCATTGAGTAAATATTAGTTTCTATAAGACTTGAAATGATATAACTTCTGCTTATTTGGTAACATTCACACACGTCGAAGCGGGAACCGGTTGAAAGGTGTCGACTCATTCCCCTTGACCTAGAACAGCCAGTGTTGCCCGCGGCAGGAAGAAAGCTTATCCATCGGGAAATGAATATGTTTCTTAACCGGCAAGTCTTTCAAAATGTAAACAATGAATTACCGCTCCTGTACAGTAAAATCCTGTAGATAGTTTTTATTTATCATCTGCCAACAACGATGTTTTTACTTTATTATGATTCAGAATACATCTTTAATTAAAATAGTTTTCATGTAATTTTTTTTTCGTATTTATAAAATTTTTAATAATCATAGACATATAGTCTATGATCTATTTCGGAAATGTTATGGGCCTGAAAAACGTTTTCTTAATAATAATAATAATAATAATAAAATATCTTTATTCACATAGACGCTTGCGCGTTCTTATGAAACGTCAAAATTTTACAAGAAATTAACACGTTCGTAAGTTACCACCGGTTCCCGGCAAGAAACTCAACAGTTGCTCTTTTTTAAAAAATCAGTTTACAATATAATAGTACAGGTACAATAGTCTTGTTTTAGCCTACGTGAGTATCAACAGTATTAACCCCACACATTGGCGTCGTCAAGATATTCGGCAATAGTATAATAGGCTTTAGCCATAAGTGTACTTTTAATTTTTCGTGGCGTATTTAGTTTGTCCTTATTTCTAGTATTTAGTTTATGTCTGTCACTATTCTTTTGATAATTATTAATATTCTGTTTAACATACAAAATATTACAATAAATATATTGAGAAGCAACAGTGAGTATATTAATCTCTGAGTGTATTCCGGGATTATAATACAATCAAAGTATCTGTATTCTGGACTAATCTCCAATAGTGGGATTTATTTACATGAAACTGAAAAATATGATAATCAACAATAAAAATCTAAAGGTCAATAATGAGTGAAAATGATATAACCTTTGTGACTGGTCCAAAAACATAAAAACATAGGTAGGTTTATAACATTGTGTTATTATTAATTAAAGTTAATAAAATATCAATATTAAGACGACGCTAATTACCTGAAATATTCCTATTCTAAATTTAATAGTGACCCCCGTTAACCGTTATTTCATTACAGACATATCTTATATTTTATGTGAGCAAGTGGCAAACGAGCGGGCGGTTCATCTGATGTTAAATAACCGCTTGCCCATGGACATTAGCAAAACCCGTAGGATTGCAGATGCGTTGCCACCTCAAAATAATGTGGGCCCCGACTAACGCAGAACCAGACGAAACGCAGAATTGTAACACTTCTACTTTACGCCGGTCTTCTGTGAGGTCGTGGTACTAACCCGAACGGACCTGCCCTTTAGTGCAACACTATTGCCTGGCCCTACCACCTATCTGTGGCGAATGTAACATAAGGGTCATTCAAATAAAAAATGTGGCCAATGTAACACCGCGCTTTTTAACACAATGCACATTAAAACTACACTGTGTTGTAAAGGTACTCCCAAAGTTGTAAATACTGAGTGCTGTTAAGCCAGTCTACTCCGAGCCGGCGGAATTTGCATCTCCATGAATATTATAACCGTAATTAAAATTTCCATTTGGATTTAGAAACAGGTGCACGGGAAAATGGATGAGTTAGATAGTAAGATACCAGGTTTATGGTTGCATGGTCAAATATTAATAAGTTCGGCCGACGGGATCATCGTACGATAAAGTATGACGGGCTATTACAAAAAATGTAACGGAGTGATATTAATTATTTTATTTTTAATTTCATCTATTACATATTTCTTATTTATTTTGAACGGGAAACCGCGAACGTATTAAATAAGTTTGATAAAGGATTCTTATCCTTTTAACCTTGTACTCAATGTGTATGAAAACTACAAAGACGTCATTAAAATGCGAAACCTTGCCTATTCGATCACAGTGGCACAGTGGAATTTCCTTAGTCTGTCACATATACTAAGAACTGCAAATTAAAATGTTTTCAATTTACACAAAAGTTAGCAACAACATTCGAGTGTCACTAATGCTTTCAAATATTATATTATGACTATTATGAGTCACGTATCGTGAACTGTTACATCACGCTATTTTATATTTAAAATTAAGCGATGAACTAATGTTTTCTGCGGACTGATAACACGGTAACTGTCGGGCTATAAAATTATGAAATAAATATATGAACAGAAATCTTTACGTTAAAGACAAATTATTGAAATGACGAAATGAGACCAAACTTCTATAGGTTCTCATTTTACTATTGAGTAAAATGAAAACCCTTATAAGGAGTAGTCCTGTATTTTTAAAGTTGCTTGAAAAGTAAAATGTCAAAAACAAACATTACTTGTCTTTGCTCATTTCTCATCATAAGGACATTAATTTTTTATTAGTCCTGAGTATAGTATTTAGCTGACTTGGTAAACGTTTTAAACCTTTTGAAATATTACGAGAATTTAATATATATTTTTAGGTATTATAATACCTAATAATTGCCCCCCCACCCCCACTCTATATATTTTATACGCTGTGTAATATAGAATTCGCAAATAAAGCTTTTTCTCTCATAACAAGAAATTTAATTAGTTTGAAACGCTTTCACGACGGCAATTTTAATTTAGGAAGGTTATTCGCAAACATAACTTTTTAAGCGAAACCTGTTTAACTCACCGGTAATGATATATGCACCGAACGTATATCGCTATTAAATGATTATGTATTTAACCCAGCACACACATACAATTTTTTGTCTCGGTCACAACTTATGACTTCATTTAGGTCACAAACGGAAAGTTTCAACAGACCAGACGTACTTCCAGAACGCGCTAGGCTTTACCTTTTTTGTTAAAATTAACGTTGAAACATATGTTGTAGTTGAACGATGAAAGATTCCAATAAGAATAGTAATGGGACGTTATTCCCACAGAAAACTTGGACACGTGCTTTAAAGTAGGTCATGGCTGAGTCCTTGTAACATTAATGGATCCCAGCATCCAGAATCAATATCCATAGCTACGGAGTGACCTAGTTCAAGTTAAGATGTCTCAACGTGCAAAGACTTCTAAAACCGGTCGCTTAGTAGCCGGCATCCGAAATAATTTAAATGCGATGTTATAATTCAGCTACAACTTACCTTTCTTTGTGCCTCCGCAGCTAATCCAGATTTTGCTGCTCTGTTGTTGGCCATTTTGAACTAACAACTAATTTTATACAATAAATAATAAATTAAATCACAGACACGGTTTGCCGCCGTGAAGTCACTGCGTGCAGCGTAGAGAATAATCTAGCGTTCCAAAATCAAAATGTAAACAGCCGTACGGTGCGGGTCGAGCGCCGACCACTTCGATGTGTGAGTGTGTGCTGATGAATGACATCATGCAGCGCGATCGGCCAGTGCACGACTCCGGGGAACGTATAGGAATGTCCTTTCATTCATTTATCGATAGCCTTAAAACATAAATTTGACTTTAACTTTCGTTATTTCAGCAACCATAGTTCAAAAATGTACTAAATTCGATTATACGTAAGTACTAACAACATGTACCAATAATATCTAAAATTTAAAAATAAAATTCAAGATCAAGAAGTTAACACTTAACTATTAGTACCTGGAGGACCGAGATTTGCTCGGTTTTTTTTGGTAAATTGTGTATTTTGGAAATTACATTTAGATACAAATAACTGAGTAATGAAATATGCATAATATTTTTCGATCTTACCGACGTAATGATAAGCAAATATGAACTGGTGTTTTTCACAAAAGAAAGAACTTTAAAAAAAAGGAAAAAAATAACAAAATCATCTGGATCGACAAAAAAAATTAAGAAAACAATGATCTGGACTCGAAAAAAAAGTATTACATTCATGAAAATCGCAGGAGCCGTTTCCGAGATTCCGATTACATATAATATATTAGTTTCGTTTAAAGGTATAAGATATTGCAATACTAAACTTGAAGTAATGCAAAGTATCAATTTCATTTCTTATTTTTAATATAGATTGTGATACAATATCGTTAACATTACAATATGAATTACTTACGTATTTTAAAAGTCTTATTTTAATAAATAATAGCTAAAACGAAAACCAGTTAAAATATAAAATTAATAATTTGGACTTATCATAAAAGGAATGACCCGTGATAGCTCATCCGGGCGCTCGCTTTTAATTTAATATATTCGAGCACCTGAGTTCGATCCCCAGTGCCAGCACCAAAGAAATTGTTAATTTTAAGTGCTGAGTTATCACGTACTCACCTGAAGGAAATCTGCATATTTTCGATATATAATAACAAAAGAAAATATTTCGAAGATATGGGCAGTCTCCAATCTATGATGACTATGGTCTAATACCCTCTGTATAGAGGAGGCCTGTGACCAGCAGCGATATATATTGGCTGTTACTTTACTTTTTTTCACTTTAAAAGGAATTGATAAAAGTACAGTTTTAAATCGACGATATTCAGTGAGAGAAGCGAGTTTATCTATATTTTGGAGTTAAAATGAACTGTCGATAACAATAAATGTCGATACTACAACACTGGTGACTGGAAATGTAAAACGAACACCAAGTATGGTGTACAATGAGAGCAAAAGAGATAACTATATTTTCTTTTCTACTCAGGCGTCGCGACGGAATGGCGGTGAGCCGAAATGCGTGGAGGCTGTACTACTGCTATACGTAGGCTTATAGGCTATGCTATACGGCTATGGGTTGGGTTGTGTTGTGTACCACTGAATTCAGGAGTTATTCGACATTATTATGCATTATACGTTGTTACTACGGAAATATCTTCTAGATAGTATTAGGTCAATTTTATGAAAATTTATTATTTATTTATCATTAGTACCAACGTAAGATAAATTACAGGCAATTATGTAAGATCAATCATTTATCTGAGATTTCTTAGTAAAATTGAGATTCTAATTTTCTTAAACAACAGCCTATAATAACTTTGATTTAAGTTATATTATATTACAATGAGTTTTTACTCTTAAAAATATTGAAACAGCGCCATCTTACGTAAAATAAGTATATTTTTTATAAAAAGACCTTCCACAAAAGGCACTAACAAAGTCCCTGCTAACTCGTTACAGTGTTAAGTGTAAACGTAGCCAACAGATGGCAACTTCAATAAATATTAAATAAAATATAATTCAAAGGTAATAAAAATAAAAATAAAGTCTATATGTAGTACGTTACGTCTTTGAAATGATGACTGTTCCTTTTTAGACATGGTTAGGGCATGTCCCCATACAATACTATTGTCATCGTCTCGTCACGCAAAAGTTTGATATCAAGCCTTTTTATACAATTTTGCTGGCTAGCACAACAGTCGGACTAACATTCCGGAAAAAAAGACCTTCTTTGACATAAAATCAACTTTGACTAGATCAAAATATTATTAAGAATGTTACACATTTGAAAATTTCAGTTATAATCCTTAACGAAAAACAAAAAAAAACGTTATGTTTTAGGCAAACAAACCCAAGAGACAACAGATATGTAGCTAGTTAAAAGTGGTATAGTTAAAATAAACGAGCGTAATGGATTATCACAAAAGGAATCGTAGAAGGAAAGGTCGCTGTGCATATTCGATACCATCAAAAGTATTAGCAAATGTTTCAACAAGTAACAGATCAACTTCGGGCGGCATCTGCAGTTATTTAATCATGTCTAGTTTTATTGCTGTCATTTATCTGTTGCTAGAGTACAATTGTAACACCTGCGGTGCAAAAAGTGATTTGAACAATATCACGAAACACGTTGAAAATATAGCGGTTGGTACCTACATTGTAAATTTATGTTACAAAAGTGGAGCACGTTTATATACGAATCTTTTGATAGAAGTGCTGATTTATAATACTATTATAATTATCCTTATACAGTTAATTCAGTTAAGAGAAAATGTTAGTGCAGCATGAGCTGTTATGTAATAATACTACGATGTAATATAACTACGATTTAAACCCTCGGAGCTCAGTGTGATAAGTTTTGAATAAATTGAATGCAACAGTTTTAGTACCGTGGATATATTGTTTTCAGAATAACCTGAACGGGATGAAGGAGAGCTATCGAGATTTAGAAAGACAGGTGGAACGATTCGCGTTGGAACTTCCGAAGTTTGAAGGGCAACTGGGGATTCTGGAGGCCGTGGCGAACACACTGGAGAGCAGGGATTTGGGGTGGGATCCTTATAAACACCTGCCTTTGCCCAATGTCGCCGTAAACCTGGCGAGATCGAAAGGAAACACGAAGAAAAATCCTAACAATATTTGTAAAAAAAATGCAAGAATCGCTAATGTAGTTGATTTGGAACAGAATCCACATTAAAAGGCTACTTGTTTGATTTAATTTATTATTAGAATGTTGTTTCCCTTTATGTTCATAAAATGGCGAAGTATTTTTATCGAGTGTTCTAAGAAATTTATTGAAATTGAAGAGATTGACATTGCTATTTGTTCTTCTTATTGGTCGTTCTTGGGTCCATCCGAATAAGAGCGTTATGATCTTTCTATAGCACAATATAAGTGAAAATTATTTTGCGGGATATTTTACGAAGGAATTCCCAATGGCGCTATAACAATGTATTCCCGGGCGTACGTTTTGGAGATTCATATAGCGCGGAACTTCAATTTCAAGGTCAATTTATCGACCTTGCGTGGTCCATTGGGATGTTCGAACGGGAAATGGAAGAGTTTCTTTCCTGTTATATTTGAATCAAATATTGATATTCAAATTTATTTACAATCCGTTCATCAAACCGTATGGTAAAAGAGCTCCGAGAGTAGTAAAGCAAAGATATATAGTTATATTACTTTGAAGACGCAAATGTATAGATACAAGCTCTTAAGATCTAGAAATTCTATTAAAAGAGTTGTAAAAGTTTTTGATAACGTATTTTTCACAGGCCAATATTAATCCACGTCTGAAGTGATCTCTTCTCAAGATTGTTATTATTCTCGATCTTAAGCCTGCTGAATTCTGCAGACTAATGTAGATAAAATCACTTGTTAATATTCTGTACTATGAGTATAAAAATTCAAAAATTGATATTCTTTGTATTCATTTAAAGTTAAAATTTATTGTAGTTAAAATTTTATGATACGTATTAAAAAAAGTTTGGTATGAAACAAAATTCTTTTTAGGACTCTGTACATAATTATGCTTCAGTTCGCTCCAGTCGTACGCTGAAGCCAGATCTGGATGATTTTCTTTCTTGAATCACGTGTACGTTTGTCACGCGCCAAAGCGGTGCTATGTAAGTACTGTAAATTATGTTTTATCTTTGTAAACCCCCCCCCCCCCCCCCCCCCCCGCAATATGCTGAGAGTATATGCTTCTGAGTTGATACTTGTTATGGGCGCTTCTGCCCATCACACGCTTTAAAACCGTTTACCTATAGGCATATCTTTGTTCTTAAGCATAATATACTATTATGCTTAAGAACAAAGAAAAACTTATATTACCACAGTTGTTAATTGCTTCACATATTTATCGCGAGCACATCGGTGAAGGAAAGCTTTATGTGGAAACTACTGATTTAGTCTGTCCCGTGTCCATGAACGCTGTAAAACGTTAGGAATTAAAATTAAAAATAAACGCGATACATCCGTAAAATTAGTTTAATTTATTTATTTGTATATCAACGCCATACAAATTTTTCTGAATAAAACCATAACTGTTTCATTTTTACACGCAATTGACTCAGGCCAAAAAGTGACCGTAACAAATAAAGTCCATGTCCATGAACGGCGCTTTTTAGCCCCCCCCCCCCCCATTGTTTGACGTAAGCTGGAACAAACTTGTGCCAGAAATACAAGTCTTAGTACACACAATCTATAATTGGGTTTATAATTTAGTGTAATTCAATTTTTGTAACAGGCTTGTTTAATATTACAAAGAATTCCCTTGAATCAAAATCTTCTCTTTTTATGGATCCTAGCCCTGCTGTGAAAGCTTCTAAGGAAATTCTGGGAGCTGTATTGATCAATATTTAGATCAGTTAACCTTGTAAATATATTTTTAGAAACAACTTTTTAGTTTACAAGACAGACCTTACTCTCGGCTAATATTGTTACACCATCTGATTCCTCCCGCCTCTTTCCATCATCGGACAACTAGGCGTGCGGCAGGGCTCCACGCTTATGATTTTATTAAAATTTCATGTACAATAATGACGCGAATCGCTTCGTCATTCATCATCCGTTCAGCTAAGGAATGGAATAAACTGCCGGCGTCCGTCTTTGCGTCCGATTACAACGTAGGAGTCTTCAAGGGAAGAGTTAATAGGTTTTTATTGAGCTAGCACGCCTGCATCACCACTTGCCATCAGGTGTGGTGGAAGTGATGCTGGCTAGTTTTGAATAAAAAAAATACCTCTCAATTTAAAATAATAAAAAACGAAGTGCAACTACAGAATTCTGTTCTCATTTCGAACGGGACTTATTTCATCATATTTAATGACCCTTTAGTGGATTTTCCAATACAGTATTTTGAGGATTTTTTCTGCTTGCCTTGTATTTCAACTGCCCCGCCTTGTATTTTTTATGAAATTTTATTCTTTTTTGACTTTTAAACCCATTTATTACCAATGGAATCTCCAGTCTCCCAGAATTCTTTTCGACAGAAAATCACTCTTTTCTGAAAGACTGACAAAGCATTTGCATCCCTACTGGTGTTGCTATATGTATATTTATAGGTGGTGATGACAACATACCATCAGCCACCTACCAGTTAGCTATCTCCTCCATTAATAAAACAAACTCTTTATATACTTCATTTATTAATGGTAAGTGACAAATGAATAATAAACAAAATAATTTTGCGAAAAAAATGTTACACCTTATTTGTTTTGTGACGATGCCCTGTGCTATGCGTGTAAATTCGCTGTATCAGGATGAGTGAATCTCTTTAACGTTCGGATCGTACTTGGTCAAAACTGTGCATTTTGAAAATCTCTCTGCATTCAATTCAGTTAACTCTTTGTTGACCTTATCATATTCCAAGCTTATAATACTAAGGGTGTCCTGGAAAAATTACCGAAGTTTACTATCAATTTGAGGTTTCTTAGTTTAATGTTATTGACAGTTTTATTACATTAAAATATGTAGAAAGTTTTATTATAAAATTAAACTTTCTACATATTTCATTTTAATTTAATATAAAATTTACAAGACTTCATTACTATTTTTTTTTTCAATGTTTACTATTTTACCTTGAGCTTATGCAAGCTAGAGTTAATTTGGCTGAGTTCAGTTCTTAAAACGAAATGTTCCCATACGTTCACAGTCAGATGTGCGGCGATCGTTAGCACAGCGAAAAACAAGCCAATTTCAATGCACATCACCTTCAAAGACTTTTTAGCGGGCATCCTTTTGTAAAGTTATAACTTTATTGAATTTATTTCATTTCTACCAAATCATAGGCAAACTTTTTGACATTTTGAAGCATATTGTTTACTATTTGACGTTATTTCTTAATCGTTTTCAAGAAAAGATTAACAGATAGCCAAGAAAGGTTTGTGACGTGAGACAATTGTAATTCGCTTAGTTTAAATTGAAATGTTCAGTGTTTGTTTAGTTATCGCGTTTAATCAAAATAAACGTATAGATTAATCATCTTTGTATAAGATACTCATGTTTAGATTGGAGTTATTAGTCCATTGATTCTTTGCGTAGACGTTTTAAGGTTTAGAATAAAAAAAAATTGTTAAATTAAACTATTTATTTATGCAGTGAGTGTGGTAACCCGGGCACACTTAATTGAAAGGAAGCAACGTATCTACAAACCTACAAGTGTTGCAAATGTCCATGGTTGGCGGCTGTCACTTAACATCAGGTGAACCACCAGCACGTTTGCCACCTCACATAAAAAATATCTTGCCGCGTTTGTTTTTATCTTCGTAGCATTCATGGCCACGGAATGGACTTGATGCATAATGAAAAAAAATCTTTTTTGTAGGGTACATTTTATTCTTACTTAAATATTTATTAGCTTCTTAGCGAGAATATTCGCAAAATGCCAATGAAATCTTTGTATTCAATTTTAGCGAATTTCAAATAGTTTTGAATCATGTTGGAACTAGAGTTCCAGTTCGGAACAGAAATAAAGATAATTTCTGAGAAGAAGCATCAAGAAACTCCGAAGTTAATACTTAATATCTGTTAATGTGATTATGAAAGCATTTTAAATTAAATTTGAAGAAAATTTATAGAGGTTGGTGATTTGCTATTTTGCAAGCCCGCTAGTCAACTTTTAAACGAGATTGTATGTCATATATATCAATAATTTCTACATTTATTGATAAATACATAAATTTAAATAAATAAGTATGCACGATTTTGCTTATAGTTATAGAGGTGAAAGGTAAGGTGAAATTGAGGTGAAGAGATAAATAAATCTTTTGTTGCATTGTTTTATTTTACATTTTTAGAAAATCTTTTATAAATTTGTTTTATAAAAAAGTAAAGCAATCAGAGATATAATTAACAATATTAGTAAAGATGATGTCCACCTTTATTGTCAGTTATAATGCATGTGTCGTGTTTGTCTTATTTTCGTTACTGCTCGGAAGATTTCTGAAAAAAAGTCAAAGTAAATAGTTTGAGAGGACAGACAAGAATTTTGATATTATCAAAGTTTTTTTACAAAACTTGAAATTGAACCAGAGCATCTTGACAGGGAATTTGCCTGTTTATGATTCAAGATTCAAGTGAGTGTCAATTTGGCTTTAAATTATTTCTGTAACTAAATGGTCATCCTTACGAATTTATAAATAAATAATTCAGTCATAATTGTAGTTTACATAACATTTATGATGTCATCCGCAGCACATACCATATTAAACAGTTTAGCACCCTTCACGAGATTCACTACACGATAGAAATTAAGGAAATTATACACCGATTACAATGAATTAACGGCGAGAGATGCAACGATTTGTTATTAGGGTTTCTAGTTTATGGTTGCAATATTACTTACACAATACTTATATTATGTTGTTATATTCATGTTATTTATGTTTATTTATTTATTTATTCTATAAAAAATATAAAAAGCAATAAAAATATAAAAAATAAAAAAATATAAATTACAAGTGAATGTAAAAGGAAGTACAACAGGCGGTCTTATCGCTCAGAAAGCGATTTCTTCCAGACAGCCATTGCGAAAAGAATTTTTGCTAAAGAGAAATAAATAAGAGAGCAGAGGGAGATGTACATGATTCACTTATAAACACAGGATGAAGGCATTTATACTTCAATGTTGTTAATTTTTAATCATTGTAGTCTTTAAGATCGATTAGTAGATTGCTGTACAAGAGTATTTGACACATTGAATAAATATATAGGAAAATGGATTTTACCAATGACCTCAAACTATCTTTTATTGATGCCTCAATTGTATAAAGTTAGTTTGAACTTTATCTTTACATATAATATTCGAAAAATTTTTGAAGCGACAGGGAAAAGCTATTGAGCTTATGCTTTCTTGAAAGAAAATCTTCACTATCTTAATTTTTAAGGACGTACCTTAATCACACCCGTCGCAGGCTGTTTAGGCCGAAATATCCTCTGAAAGAAGTTCTTTTTATTCTCCGCTTTTATTTCGGTTTTGGAGAGACGTTCGTGCCTGAAGCATACCGATGAAGTTGGTGACTGGAATTTTAAAATAAGAAGATGACTGCTTAATTGTCTTAACATAACTTTGACATAAACATAAATTGCACATAGAATATAAAAATAACGTAACATTGAAAAATATTACAACAACTATGTGTTTTAAAAGCAATTAACATACTATATTCCATAATGTGTTAATGTACTGGTATAATGTTGTTGGATGTCATAATGCAATGTATGGTCGACGATGATTTGAGATGAGCCGATCCGAGACACCACTTTCAGACTTTAATAATTGTAATTGTTGGTGTACTAATTATTCGCCACATAATAGCTTGACCGGTAAAGATTACACACTAAGCAATATTTTTGATTGTTTCGCCGATGAAACGATTCGTAGTAATATAGTTGCAACGGACCAGAAGACTTCTAAGTCTTCGGCCAGATAGGTACGATGGCCTCATAGCAGCCGTAATAGGAAGAATAATACTTTAGCATTTCGTATGTTGGGTGTGGTAATCAGAGCCTACTTTTCTTAAATATTACCAACCCAGCAACTCCGCTGGTGGTAATGTTTTAACGCTTGCAACTTTTCACGTAAAAATACAATAGATTTTTTTAGCAGCGCTCGACAGCAGCTTTCGAATCCCTTTTTAGAGGTTTAAAATTGCATGTCAGTTGATGTGGGTGTTCATGATTGTCAAAGTGGTATCAATCAATACAAAAAAAAAACATTTTTCGGCCTGAAATTTATCGATTTCTCTGATGATAAGCAGCTGATTTTGAAGCAAAACGTATATTTACAGAAATTTAAACACTCACTGTTCCTGTTGTTTGATCTTTCAAAGAACAATGTATAGAGCATAATTTGTCAGCAATTTCGTTGCAGTTAGTTTGAGCGTGACCAACCTCTTTCTGTGAAAACATTAAAAAGTATTTTAATGTTTGACCTTAATGAAACCTGAATATAATAAAATAAAATAATTTTATGTGAGAATGTGGCAAACGAGCTGGCAGTTCACGTGATGCTAAGTGATATCCGCCGTCTATGGAAAATTGCAACACCCTACGGGTGTTCCAATTTTCCATAGGCGGCGGGTTGCAAATGCGTTGCCAGCTTTAAATAAAGTGAGCTACCTCACTCACCAGACGAAACGCGAAAGTGTAAAACGTCTATATTACGCCGGCCTTCTGTGAGGTCCTGATACTTACACGGAACTGCCCATTCGTGCAACAGTAAGCACTGTTGCATGGCCCTAACCCGATTAAAAACTCTTGGAAGAGTGCAGTTTGTTCCGTCAATGGCTTATTTTTTACAATTTGAGGCCCTCGTATTCTTGCCCAATGAAGCTGGAGAATATTAATAAGTAAATAAATATTTTAGGACACATTTTAAACATATATAAACACCCAGACACTAGAAAAACATTATGTTCATCACATAATATTTTTCAGATCTGATCAGATTTCCGGGATCGAACCCACACCCTATGGCGCAGGAGGCAGATTCACTACGCCATTCGGGTCGTCAAGATATCGGGCTTCAATAACATGGGTAGACGAAATTTGATTTCTGTCGTGGATTCGATTCCAACACGGGACAACTATTTGTGTGATCCACAGATAACTATCTGTTGTTGTGTGTGTTTCGCATCTGGGTGTTTGTCCACGTGAAATTTGTATTGGTAAAACGCCCTTACAACACAGGATAATGTTACCTTAAAGTAAGGGCAATGTTTAAAAAAAAAACTAGGTAAAAAGTGCTCACCGTCATTGTGCTCAGGATGTTTTTCAGAACCTTCGTCTCCGACTTGTTGTGCACCGCCTTCGTTACGAGAGGAATGATTATGCTGAGTAGCACCACCGCCGCTATTACCGCGACGGCTCTGTGGCTTTCCACCAGAGTGTCCAAAGTATCGGCGACGAAACACTTTATGTTCGAACACATGACTTGGAATTTAGTAGTGGCCGTGCGTGTCGTCTCGTCCAAGGAGAGCGGTGATCTGCTTCGTCCGGTGTACACACCTGTTTCGTAGTACTTCAATTGCAATTGTGATATACACACGTCTGTTTATTTGTAGTTTAGTTTTAGTGGCTCAGGATCGTGCTTCGAGTTTTTTTTTTTTATGCGAAATGTTGCCAAACGAGCAGACGGGTCATCTGATGTTCAGTGAATACCGCCGCCCATGGACTTCTGCTACATCCGAGGGTTAGAGATGCGTTGACAACCTTTTGAAAATTGGGCTCCGGCTACCTCACTCACCAGACGAAACGCGAAAGTATTTGTCATACTTCCACTTTACGTTAGTCTTCTGTGAGGTCGTGGTACTTACCCGGACGGGCCTGCCGATTCGTGAAACAGCCGAGGCTGCTGCGTGGCCCTACCACCGTAAAAGCAGCTAGTGTGAGGGAGAGGCCCGTGATCAGCAATGGACTCGAAAATGGACTGATGAAAATGATCCAATATCAGGCATGCGTCGCTTCGACCGCCGTAATATAAATATTTATGCAGACTTTATACGTAACCTAGAAGGTATTTTAGTTTTGAATTTCATAGCTATGACTTCTGTTCGTGTGGAATGCTCGGGACAATGTTGAAGATCGGAAAAGTAAAAACTGCATTTATTTTCTGGATATAGTGGAACATACCATCAGGTTAACCACCTGCTTGTAAATCACGTCTTGTATATCTTTTTTCATTACAAAAAATTGCACAATCATGTTCACAGTTTGTCAATCGCTATGTTGATTGTAAATTATTATTAGTTTCATTTGAAGAAATAAAAATATGAAACCCCTAGTCACGGCACTTTTTGTCAGTTTATTTAATAATTAATAATATTAATATTAATGTTAATGTTAATAATATTAATGTTTTCTTTTCAAAAAACTTATTTTATTGCCTGTTTTATCGTGTTAAGAGTTTATTGTTCTCAACTCTATGACTTAAACGGTTTATATACATGTATACATAAAACTGTCATCAACCTGTGAATATATTAGTGCGACGACGAGGCATTTTATAAGACTGTAGTTTCCATTTGTACGAAAAATTTCTCCCAGTATGTATTCAAATTTTTAAGATTGTTGAAATTACTGTCAGTGAGTTTTTAAAACGACACGTGTAACATTTGTCACATCCTGAATCATAGACATTTTTCTTTCTTTCTTGATATAGAAAAAATATAAAACAAATTAGTTGATCCCCGCAACCGACTCATCAAAGCTTAATCCTTTCTTTTTTTAACAATAAAATACGTATTTTACTATATTCCCAATAATTTTACTATGTTTTGTAGAAAGTATGAAGGAAAAGGAAGTTCTAAGCGTCCGATTCAACGGTTTAATGTCAATATATCACATGGTGACTTCTGGGAAAGATTTACCAGCAACAATTGTGGTGTTGTGACATATTAACCTATAAATCTTGAAACATATGTTCCGTCGGCGAGGAGAGGTTTCTTCTGGGTAACAAATCCATACGACATTCAGCATGTAGCATTTTGTGAAAACTTATAGAATAAACGGTTATTACGTTTAAAATAATTTTGCTATTCAATTTGAATGTATCGTTGCATTGTTTAAAATAACAGTGATTACTCATTATATTTAAAATAACAGTCATTTATTTTCAGTAGCTGATCTATTCGATTAGGTATTTTTTATGTTTCAATAGCGAACTTTGGGGTATTTAATCTGTTTATTTTAAATCTATGCAGGAAAAACTTCAATGGCTTCTTTCGCAATGCGTGTTAGAGTGTTGAACAAACAAACGAGAGCTTTTCTACAACTTGTGTTGACAGCGTAAAGCTCTTTAAGCATGAAGGTAAAATGCGAGGCCCAAAGGTGTAGAAGGCTAGACGAATAAATTACTTATTTAAATAAAAAACCCCACTGCATGAAAAATACTAACTAAATTATCTTCCATCTATTATTATTTGTGGTCACCATATTGAAATAATTTATCCTATGTCACCCCCACAACAGAAACGAATCTTATGGCACCGTAAATGTTGAAATCCGCCAAAAAGTTTAGGCTGAACAGCGTGTCCAATATTTAACATACCTAATTATGTATTACAAACGTACTTTCGAATAAAACCGTTTAAAAACTTTTAAGTTAAACGGTTTTATTTTATGTGCACTGAAAACTACAATATTGTATTGTCATCTAAATTAAATGTGTGTACCAAATTTAGATGAAGTGTTAATATCAATCTAGAATGCGGTTTTGGTTTTTAATCATTGAATTCTTTAGAGATGGAGTAAAGTTGTGTTTTAAAATGTGCTTAATTAAAATGACCTTATAACTATATTATAACTTTTAAGACATTACCTGGATTTTGTACACCTCCATGCATTTAAGCCCCAAACGCAGTAGCTTTTACTAAATGGGACTCACATATCTTTTTATAAATGAGATAGAGGGTTAAGCTGAACGTTTAAAAACAAACAACTAGTACTAGTAACCAACTAGTACTCCGGTAGACAAGACCAAAAAATTTGTTATACATTTTCGTTTTAAAACTCATAAAAAATGAAACAACAATTTACGACAATTTTTACATTTATTAATTTAATAATCAAATTAAACAAGAAACCCTTTTATGACACAAAAGAATAGTCCTGTAAAAATCATACATTTAATGCACAGTTTTTGTGAAAGTTATGTAAAATCTACAATATTATTTAGGTGTATGTATTGTTGATTAAAATTATTTAAAATTATATTTAAAAGATTGGCTTTGAAATAGTAAAAAATGCAGTATAAGTTGCTGATTCTGATGCAAAGAATTATCTGAAAAACACATTTCTGTTAAAAATACGTTTCAAATACATACAAGATCACATGTTTAATACATAATGATAGATACATAAGATTCAGCTTATTGAAAATTCTTACCTTAAACTTTTAAAAGTCTAGCCGTTATTCACTGGCTGCTGTATTGGGATCTGAAAATTAACAGTTTGCACATGTTTACTTTTAATTAAAACAATTACATTCCTGGAATTTCGCATTTATTTCTGCTGTGTGACAAGTTTCTCTGAGAAAGTTCCACGGCCTTTCACGCCCTACGTAGAGGTACGTCAGGTAACCGGGGCCCACTTTCTTAAAGGTTGGCAACGTTTCTTTAAAAGAGGTGGATAGACATAGCTTTTTACGTATTTCCTAAACGTCACCGATGGCGATGGCGAGCCTTAGTGCTATATACCGATAACAAATGTTATAAAAATATTAAGCACGTAATGTAAAAATACATTGCTCACATTAAAACACGCTGAGTAACCCGTTTCCATTAAAAATCGTTCATCACAACTGGGGACCTTAGAAATTCCGGGTACTAAAATATCTTGGTTTTCTCCCAAGTCCTTAATTTCATCATTACTTCCATCCGTCTCATCGTCTTGCGTTTCTTCGTTCGTTTCAATTTCTGTGTTTAGTTTATCGTTGCTTGTAGATGTTGATTTATTTGACTCTTGATTTGGTAAGATTGTATCGACGCTTGCGTAATTTGTTAGTTCTGGAAATTTTACTCAGTACACTCTCAACTCCAATCACAAATAAACTTTAACCTTACTCGTACAATAATGATATATTTTCAAATAGGGTTTTTAGCATTGGTGTTTAACACGTTGAGCACCTTTGCCTTTGTAAGTTAAAATGAGTGAAAAAAGTAACAAATCTATTAATTACCCAAGCAAAGGACTCCTCTGTACAGAGTGTATCAGGGCAAAATCTTTCATCCCTTCTCGTAAGTACAGACTTGATAGTATCATCCTTTATTTTCTCAGTCACTGGTACGCGGTGCCATTTTCAGGCAATGAAAAGTATTAGGAATATAATTATAAGTATCATGTTAAGTTTTAAAGCTTGCGCTCACCAAGTATTGTGTTATACATCCTCTGCCACTGGTTAGTGTTATTAAATAAATATATGAAGGAGGCGATGAAAGCAACTGCGGTCAGGAAAATTACTACAAGCGATTTCTCTATGAACCCTTGCAGTTGGTAAAATATGTCTTCTATTCTATGTTCCGAATTGAAGTTATAACTCTGGTTTGAATTCATTTCGATTGTTTTCTTACGCTAAATACTATAATAAATATACCTGAAATCATATTTGTACACAATTTTAAAGTAGAAATTCTTAGTAATAATTTTTATGAGAAACAAAAACATTCCTCATTAACCTTTTTTTTTGGTATCGGGGGGGAAATCTTCCAAAGATACCCTGTCACGTTACATGACAGGTTTATGTGAGGTTCTTACCCACTAAAACCCCCTCGGTGGCAACTCTCTGTACGTTTGGAGGGACTCCGGGATCTCCCACGGAATGCACCGGTGTCCCTCAGTACTGCGCGTGAGCACTCCCCGGAGATATGTTCCCCTTAGGATAGCTTCCCCGGTTCCCTCACCATCTTGCAGCAGCTCGAGACCACTTCGAGCTGCTGCCAATCGGTGTCCCCTTTTAGTCGCCTTTTACGACAGGCAGGGAATATCTTAGCCCTATTCTATAAGCCAGTGACTACAGGGCTGATTCATCATCAACCTACGCTTTTTACCAAATTAAGACTCTGATAACTCGCTTAACTTTCCAATTTACTACGAGAAGTAATCTTCGAAGGAAATTGTCTTTTGGGTAAGAAGGATATCAATTAGACATAGAGATACATATTATTGTACAAGAATAATACCAGACGATCCTCTTCACATTTTTGAAGTATTGCGAATATTTCTTGTAAACGAAAACGGGGCGCATAGTACAGTTTAATAATTTTTCACCTGTTATTCACGGTGCACGTCATGTCAAATCGACTTACTATGACAGTTAAATGCTTCTTTTCTTTTGAAATAGTAAAAACTCTATTTCATTATTTACTTATTTCATAGATTTTTAATGATTTGTACATTACTGTATTGCTCCAAGTTACTAGTTATTTTAAATAA